TCTATAATTTAAAAGACCTGCTTTTGTCCAGGGGACATGAATTCTTTGCAGCTGTGGTCCAGGATATATCACAAAGGACACAGCTTAAGAAGACCCAAAGATGCCAGAGCCTGATTACAGAGCCCCGGAAATTAGGAATTGTCAGAAACAGCTAAGGGAGTTCTAGTGCCTTTCCCAGGCGCTTCTGCTAAATTCACTTCCTGGCTTTCAGCATTTACACAAGTAACCTGTATACCCTGGGCCTGGTATCAAGCCAGAGTGCTCTCTGTAAATCTTGTAGGGAAAGGGAAGCTAAAACACGCAGACTGGGCCTGGGTTTTGAGAAGAGGAATTTACATTGAATGTTGACTTTAATTTTTGTTCTCAGTCTACTTTCTGTTCTTTCATCTTATCAAGGGAATCCTTAAGGCTAGCCATTAAATTCCTTTGTAGCCTCTTTTTAATTTGGTCCTTCCATAGGTACCATGAGACAATTGTTTAGGATGAGAGGTCTCTGAAATTCTTTCAAATATAGTCAATTCAAAGGATCTATCATCTGGTCATTGACAAGTAGGGTCTTACATTAATCTCAATTACAACTCATAACAAACCTTTTTATGGCTTAATCATGGATGCAAGAGGCATTCTAAAAGAAGGTACAAAAGATGCAGTCCTCACAAGATCCGTAAATTTCATTCCCACAGTTATCCTAAGAAATCAAAGAGCTTCATAAGTAAGGTCTTACAGGGGATAAGGATGGTGTAGGGAAAATGGTGTCTCCGGTCTCCCATGAGAACATGAGACACCTGCAGTCACACACGCACTACCAGTGGCACTAGGCAGGCACTGCTTGCATGGGACTTTTCCAGCACTAACTAGCCGACAAAGGTTGAGATGGTAAAGGCCCCTTATGGATCCGGACCCCTTATGACAAACACCCTGGAGACCTGGCCAAGTTGGACAAAGAGAATGATGCTTTTTGGATCCACAGCCTATTCGGCTGTCTGCCATATGCATGCTGGTACATGAATCTTCCAGCTGGCAGAGACCAGACAGGATATTTTCAATAAGGACTAAAGGAAAATCTCATCTGGGCTATGAATCTCCTCATGACAAACGACACAAAACACAGGGATCAAAGAAAACAATGACCATCCATGGGAGGAAAGGGATTATTTTATAGACAGGAGTACTCATAACAAATCTTTACCAGAATTGCTATACCCAAGAAACCAGCTTATTACATAAATGTTTTCTCTTGCTAATCTAAATTCAGAAAAAGAGAAAAGGACTCTCATCACTCATTTCCACTGGGTCCAGCAGGTGGGGATCCAGGAGACTGACATGGTAAGAATTCTTACCTTCTGCCGCCCCTTGTCAGAGGCCCCAGGACCTCTCAGCAGCAGCAGCCCTGAGTGAGCAACATTTGGCCAGTGGAGGTACCCTCACAGGTTACCCAACTGTCAGGGCAGAAAAATTTCCTCCTCCCTTCTGAGTTCTTGAGCTGATCTAATAGTTAAATTGATATAAGCCAGATTAACAGGAGAAAAACAAATTTAATTTCATACATTTGGGAGCCCCATCAAAACATGTGACTTTAAGGCACTCAAGCAGTTGAGGCTTATGTGCCATCCTGAGCTAAGGGATGGGATAGAGGCTGGGGATTCAAGGCCGAGGAGGGTGATTCACAGGAAGTGGAGAAGAGCAGATTTATGGTAATCAGAGGTCTGCCCTGCCATGCAGGTAAGATTTCCAGATAAAAAGCTGTATCTGGTAATAGTCCTTTTGAGCCTCCTATCTGAATTCTTTTAGGCAGTTAAGGGAGAGATAAAACTTTTTCTTGAGTGTGCTGAGTCTTGATTGCCTTCAGCTCAAATAATCCATATGCCAAAGTAGCACATTTTGGGTCATGTATTCTGTTCCCTTTCACCTAGGAAAGTTACAGAGACTGCTATCTTCAATTCATTCCCTCTTATAGTCAGACCTGTTTTAATTTCCAGTTTTATAAAGTAGCCATGTAGCCATTTGGAAGCTTCTAGAATAAAAGGCAGTGTGTTAAGTAGTCAGTGGTTAGTTTTGCGTCTGTCAGTCTTTTTGTCTCCATAGAAACAACTGGACTTTAAACACCAGGCACTTTTCAAGGCCCTTTCAATATATTAGCTCATTTAATTCAACACGACAAGAGTTACTACTATCTCCTTTATGAGAGGAAAATGAAGCACAAAGAAAGTGATCTGCCCAGGTTACACAAGCAAGGTGAGAGCCCAGGCAGTCCGTTGCCAGAGGAGGCACAGTGCTTCTCACACTGAGTCTGGGCCCTAAGGCCCTTGCTCCCCTCACAGAATGAATGCCTTCCTCTCAAGTCTTCTGAGGCATGTCAACACAGTGGAACATAACTCGCCATATAAAGCGATGGAGTACACCTAATGCTACAACTTAATAAACTTAAAAACATTATGCTAAGTGAAAGAAGCCAGACACAATGAGCATATATTATGGATTTCCTTAATATGAAATTTCCGGAATAGGCAAATCCAGAGACAGAAAGCACAGTAGTATTGGAGCTCGGGGGAGGGGCAGGTGAGGAGTGACTGCTATAGAGGCTAGGGTTTCTTTTTGATGAAATGTTTTGGAATTTGTGGTGATGGTTGCTTAACTTTGTGAATATACTAAAAACTATTGAGTTACATACTTTTAAAGGGTTAGATTTTAAGGTATGTGAGTTATATCTAAAAAATAAGTCTTTTGAGGATTCTCAATAATCTGGTCTACAAGAATAATATTTAATGATTTAATAGACCAAAGCTGGTAAAGGATAGCAGAATGTGCTACCCCCAAATATGCTACTTTGGCATAAGGATTATTTTGAGCTGAAGGCAACTGAGAAGCAGCAGATATAAGAAAAGCTCTCTGCCCTCCTCCTATCTGCCTAAAAGCAAGATGTAAATTTGCGCGTCCCCTTCCCTCTTCTATCCAAAGGACAGAAGTTAATCACTGGAGACAACTCTAGACCCTTATCAGCCTGGAGGTGGCACCAGAGGAACCCACAAACCAAAGCTTGCTAAAACTAGCCCTTACCCACCATCTGTTCCCCCATATACTTACCTTCCCACAATCTGCCACCTTAGAAATTCAAAGTCCTTTTCCTTTGTCTTGTTCTCTTCCCTAAAAAATGTATTGTTTTTTTATTTAGATGCTACAATGAGCCTAAATTCTAGCCACCCCTCTGAGTTATTCATCATTGGGTGCTCCCATATGTATGTGGAATACACATTTTAATAAACTTATGTATATTTTTATTTTGGTCCTCTTTGTCAGTCTAATTTACAAGCTTCCAGTCAAATAACCTAAGATGGGTAGAGGAAAAAGACTTTTTGTCTTCTATACTCCTACAATAATCTCCACGGTCTGGCTCCTTTCTGTACCCCGACTCCTGTCACTCTCACCCTCTAGTCCCGATGCGCAGCCTTCCTGGGCTTCATTTCCTCAGCTTCCGTGTACCCTTTCCCTGTTCAGAGCCTAAGAGCATGCTGGGCTCAGCTGGAGCATCACTGCCTCCAGGAATCCCCTGGTATGCCTACGTGAGAGCACCTCATCAGCCTACACTCACCACCCTGCCAATCTGCTCAGCATCTGGCTTCCTTGATAAACTTTAGCCTCCATGAAGGCAGGGATGGGTTGCTTTGTTCACTATTTTATCCCTTGCACCCAGTACCCAGAGGAGGCACTGAGAAACCCACGGAACAGAAAACGCAGGGCCCAGTCACAGAGAGAGCACCGTGGCTTCAGGGGGCCTTGCTGCTTTGAGAGGGCAAGGGTGCTTTCCAGAGTCCCAAATGACGTCAAGCCCCATCCTTCAGGCCCTTTCAGAGATAGGAGGGGGACCTTACATGGGTCTGTTTCACATAAGCCCTTTTATTATTTACTCCAGAAAATGCATTTGCCTGATGCATTCAGCAAGCACCTGACTTGTATCTGAAGTGAATTAAAAACCTCCTCCTTCTTTGATTAAAAGTTTTGAGCTGTAGTGGGGTATCATGATTGGTGCACATGGTGTGGGGGGGGGGGGTCACAGGGAAAACCGTGTAGCTCAGAGAAGACAAATAGGGACTCTGTGGTATCTTGCTACACTGATGGACAGTGACTGCAATGGGGTATGAGGGACTCGGTAATAAGGGTGAATGTAATAACCACATTGTTTTTCTTGTGAAATCTTCATAAGAGTATATATCAATGATACCCATATAAAAAAAAAGTTTTGAGCAGTCTTGGATGCCGATTGGGGTGGAACTGGGCATAGCTACGATCTGCAAGGATCTTAAAGGTCTCCTCAAAGGCAACCAGCTCGTTGATCCCGCTACCCTCTTAACATAGAATAGTGACCAAACACAAGTGCTGCCACTTAAATGCTGAGTACCTACCATGGTCCAGGCACTTTCCAAATATCACCTCCCATTATCCCCCCAAACTGTGCCAGGACATATTCTTATCCACATTTTACAGATAAGAAGGCAGTGTCAGGAGAGAAGCAACTTGCCAAATCCACAGGCTGGTAAGTGTTAAACTATTGCCTTTTACAAAATTTAAGAAAAGTCAACTATCTAGAAAGCTGCTCAGAGTCACTGGGTTTTCTAGCAACATTTCAAAATGCTTATTAGGAATTTGTGATTCAATAGAGGGAGAGAAGAAGACAGGATGTCTCTGTATGTAAGACCTGAAATCACATTTGTTACCATTTCCTATTTTTTCCACTTCTAAAATTAAAAGGGCACTGGGGTTTCCTCGTATTAATGAAGCAATAATGAATAAAAGTGATGTATGCTACTTGGCAATGAGAATGTAAATTCACACAATAAAATTAAGTACAGGCTGCTTTACATGAGTAAACTAAAATTAGGATAAAAAGGATTTTGATAAACAGTGAGTCCTTAAAAGGATGAATAGGAGTGGGGGTACACCCTCTGTACACCCCGCACCTTTGAAGAATAGACAACCTTTTACCAAGCAAGAGAAGCACCTACCATCTATCAGCTGAGTGTTGGGCTCCCCCATCTCGTTAAAGCTTAGCTGTAAAAAGACAAGCATGGACATAATCATAGATCCATGGAGGCCAGGGACTTAGACACTGAGGGGCATACCCCTCACCGTCAACAAAACATCTCTGCTGTCCTACTAGATAAACCTGGGCAAGATTTAGAATAACCCTAAATCTTGGTGGCTTCGTCCGTAACTGAGTAATAATCCCTGCCCTGCCCGCCCTACCTTGAGCTGACCCTATGATGACCTGAGAAAATACCGTTCCTCACAGGCTCAAATGAGCTTGGGAAAGTAAAGGCAATTCGACCGAGAATGTGCTACAGAAGGAAGACCGAATACGCTTTTCCTCCCACCCCAGAAATGATCACGAGTCTTGGGAATTCTCCAGCATCACCGAGAGGCCACCTCTCTGGGGCCCAGCTGCCCATCACCTCACGCGGTCTCCTATTTGCACAGGACCAAGCTGCCCAGAGGGCGCGGGGAACCAGCCGTTCGCAGCGCGCCCGACTCGGAGCATTTTCCATTTGCCAAACAGCGCTTCCCGTGAATCCAAAATGCCAGAGGTTGCAGTACAATGTAAACCAAACTTCATAACGCACAGAAAAACACGGGCGGAAACCCTACCAGTTTATTGGTGGTTGTCTTGGAAGGTGGGCTTACTTTTCCTACTTTCCTGGACTTTTAACTACTTTTACGTACATAACCTCTCTTTTTTCTCCATCTGTACCTAGTAGGAAATTTAAACACTTAAAACCGGGCCTGGCATGTAAGTACTGAGTGAACAGCAGCTATTACTTCTTGTAAAATCTTCTACCAAAAACGTGAATTACTTTTAATGGTTTGATTATTGCTTTTAACGAACGTCTCGTTAACAGAAAAAAACTTACTTTTTGCATCAGTATCCTCACCATTCCCCGACGCCTACATTTCCAGTTTTAAGTAGAAAGTTAAAAACCATTACAATAATTTGAGGGATCTGCTTTTTATGAATGACTCTGGGAACCACAATCCCAAAGCTTCCTACCGAGCTGCAGGGCCTGCTCCCGCGCTGCCGTGCGCGGACCGAGAAAAGAACTAGGGAAGGCGTCGGGCTTCCCCGGGGGCGTGCCCTCCCCTCCGCACTGGGGAAAAGGCTCCAGTTCCGCCATTAGAGCGCGCGACGGAAAATGGAGGCGCGCGGCCCTCCCCGCGGCGGCGACAAGCGCGGCGCCTGCACCCTGCGCGCCTGCCCCGCCCCACAGGGCCCGCGAGGCCGTTACGGCAGTTGAGGAAGGGCGAGGGCGAGGGGCGGGCAAGGAGCGCCGCTCGTCGCCCCACCCCGCGCCCGAGCGCGCGGTTCCGGCGAGCCCGGCTCCAGCCCCGACAGTCCGCTCCAGGCCGCTCCGGACCGCTACCCGCTCCGTAGGTGCCGTCCGCGCTCCGGGCTTTCCCTCCAGCCCTTTGTGTCCTGGCGCGCGTCGGGAGAACGCGGGAACGCGCGCCGCGCCGTGCGCCTGCGCAAGGGGTGGAGGGCGCGCCCTGCCGGAGTCGGAAATGGTCCCCGATCCGGGCGTCCCCGCCTCTCGACCGCCATTTCGTGCTCCAGTGCGCGGCCTCCGCATGATGGACGCCCGGAAGCTGAGACAACAAAGGCTAGAGCACAAGGTCTGTGTAGCTGCATATCCTTCCGCTGCCCGCGAGGTGAAGATGGCTCCCAGAGACTTCAGCTGTGTCGGAGTATGAGGGGAAATGGGCACCTGTACCTCCTCCGGATGGTCCTGCGAGCTGGCCCCAGGGAAATGCATGGTCTCGTGTGTACACGGCCCTAGGGTGTGCAACTTTGCGTGTATGCACAACCTCGTGCACACGTCCTAGTATCCCCAGACTCATGTTTGTACCATCCTGCATCCACGAACCCGTAGGTTTCCACGTAACCTGTGTTCATGGTCTCAAGGATGTGTCTGAGCCCAAGTATGCACCTACTTGTGTGTGTGTGCACCACCTGGCTGCTTACACAGGTCCAGGTGTGCATGGATTCGTGTTTGCACAGACACGATGTGCACAGACGCGTGCATTCATGCATATGGCAACGTGTTTGCATGGTCAGGGGATGTGTGCAGACCTGCCAGTGCAAGCCCAGACTCCCTCAATCTGAGGCACCTGTGAAAACTATCCCATTTCTAACCTGTTTTGGATTCATTTGCTCTTGCTGAGTTTACATGCAAAGCATAACTACTTGCCTATTACTCCATGCTATTCTTAACCTTTATTCTTTCGTTCCCCATCACTGGGCTCCTGCTGTGGACCCTTCTGCACTGAGAGTACTCGGTGACAGTGACGCTTGGTCAATGAAGGAAACAGACTGAAAAATGGGCAGTTAAAGCATCAGTATGAAACTGTGAAAGAGAGGCCTGGCTCGTGAAAGTCAAGATTCGTGGAGGAACCAGGAGCCAAGGCCAGTCTAGCTGGCCAGGGCCTGACAGTGAAAGAATTGGGTCAAGAACCAGTTTCAGGCTCAGGCTTGAGAACTTCCTTTTTGGAGATATTTAAACAGGAGTTGCCATCAATATTTTAGCAAAGACAGGGGGTTGAAATGGGGGGCAAGTGATGGAGAGGAGGATGTGTGGGAAAAGGAGGCCTGTTGTGGGCCCATGTGGCAGAAGACCTGGGAGCAGCAGGGAAGTGGCCTCCCTAGGGAGAAGTGGAGAGGAAAAGCCGAATGGGGGACTGCAGTCTCTTGGGCTTTCACACTTCCTGCTACTGCTTTCGCTTCTGTGTTGAGCATACTCCTCTCCCCAGGAGAGAGATAGGACTTAACCCCCAGCACTGCCCTTTACATGGAACACCTGGCAAGCGCCTGTGTCACTGGGGGTGGAGGGAGACAGGGCCTGCGGGAGACCAGCACAGGCACAGAGTAAGTGTTCAGTAAACACGGGATGTTAGCATTTAAGCTGTACTAACCTTAGACGTCCCCCCTTGTCTTGCCCTCCTTGCCCTCCCATCAAAGAACCACCTTGTCCGCGCACATTTCATACCATTATGGGTATTCTCTTGTTATATTCACTCTTCCTAGGTATCTTTTAAGGACATAAAAGTCCATCTCCACTGACATACCTCTACTTTCCCATTGAGAACTCCTCAACCATGTTCCCAATATGTTGTCACCAAGCTCCCATTTAAATACTCCACATGGCGGAGAACAGGCCACTTCACAGGACAGGCTTTGGGTGTAGCATATGAAGTTTACTTTATGAGGCCTAGGTCTTCCTGATTGGAAATAAAGGCCTTTTTTTCTTTCACCCAAAAGATAGTTTTTAAGCACATGCTGTGTGTTAGCACTGGGGACAGGGCAGTGAAGGGAAGCAAAATAAGCCAGCCCAAAACATGGTTCTTCAGCATACTGATAATTTTAAACTGGTTATTTTTAAAAAGGAGCAGACAGGAAGCTCTGAAAACTTAACAAAGTTACTCTTTTGTAAGAGGCATTTGCACCATAAGGGAAATCTCCATTTGTGAGGGTGTCTCCCTGCTGAACCAGGAAAAGGGAAGGGTTCTGAGTCCCTGGAAACTCTTAGCCATGGAGATGGCAATGACTTCAATCTGCACAACTGTGCCCTTGGTGCCTGTACGCTTCCTGCTCACCTCCCGAAGCGGACTCTCCCCACCCCAGACCCGCGTCCCCGCTAACAGCTTTGGTCTTAGGTGAAAACCTTATTTAAGATGACGTCGACTTTGGCCATGGGGAGTTACTCAGTTTTCCTCGGTCTGTCCCATGCATACAGGAGGTATACATGTTATTAAACTTTTGTCTTTCTCTTGTTAATCTGTCTTAATACCAATTTAATTATTAATCCAGGCAAAGTACCTTGAAGGGAAGAATGGAAAACTTTCCCACCCTTACTGCCGCCAGACACAATTCCTGCGTCCAGTAGCTTAGACCTGAATTGCGGGACACCAGAGTCCAAGAGCAGGCAAATAACTTCTTCACACTTGACATGATGATGCCAAAAGCCTATGCAGTGTGGATTACAGCACGTTGGGCTGCCCCTGTGCACCTTGAACTAAATCTAAAGGGTCATGAGAGGAGAGTGCCCACTCCCTTTGGATCAGATAGGAGCATGCCCCTCTCTCCCCCAGCCTTTGCACAGCCACCCCAGGCCTGGGCATGGTCTCGCAGAGCTGACCGTATACCCCAGAGCACCAGCCACTTCACGCAAGAAGAACCAGCAGAGTCCCTCCTCAGAATGGGGCTATAGGCTTGAAGAACACTTCGGGGCTGCCATTAGGGGTGGAGCAGGTGGGGTGATCTTGCTGAAGCCCTCTCAGCAGCCACATCTGGCAGCCCTGCCTGCCTGGGAGGCGGGGCCCTGGGGATAATTGGCCGTTGTTCTTGTTCATGTATCACTCAGGCTTGGGTGACACACCACCACTTTAATTCGCCAGCAGGGCCCCAGCCTGGAGCCTCCTAGGGAACCAAGTCTGAGATCTGATCTAAATAAGGTCTGTGTACCTAGAGGTAGGTGAGGCAGTCCCACCTCCCCTGCTGAACAGGCAGGTTGTACTAGATTACTGTTCTGCATTTAACCCTTTTCCCAAAGGCCCAAGGATCTGAGTGATGTCATCCTCCCTCAACAGCCCTTTTCCTGGAGTGTGGGCTCCAGAGGCGAACTCCTGCTCCCCCAGCCCCTGAGCAGGGGGCAGAGCTGTCCCCTCTGAACGCTGAGCTGGGCAGGGAGTCTGTGCCCAGGGAATACCTGGAGGTGAACTGCTCTGGCTACCCAGAGTAAGCCACAGAGAACTAGAAGTGTCCACTTTCCAATGGCTTCCCTCCAAAGGGTCATGAATAAGAGCGAAGGGGTCCCTAGAGAAATGAGACTGCAAAAGAATAAATGCCACCTTGTGCCTGCCGACTTCCTGGAGGCTTCTGTGGGCTTGTTGGGGGCCTATGTAAAGAATCTAGTGGAAAGCTCCAGAAGGAAGACAGCCCATGGGGGCCTGACCTTGCCCTCCGGCAGGCAGGTTATGTTTCCCCTCTCACCCATGGACAGCATCAGGATGCCTCAGTCACGACCCGGAGATGAGACGCTGCCCTGGACTCGGCAGAGAGACAGCAGGACTGAATGTGCCTGCTTCTAATGGGCAGGTGGGGTTTCTTCGGGGAGAGCATCCCTCCATACTGCTCCCCGCCCGCGCCCCCGGCCCCGCGGCCCGATCGTGGACCCCCGGGCGTGACACCTGAGACAGAACAGCCAGAGGCCTGGGAGTCCCAGATGTCGCCCCCGCCCCTCGCAGGGCAGCCTCGGGTTCGCGGAGTTTCCAGGGGGTAGGAAGCGGGGAAGAAGGCCCCCCTCTGGTCCAGCCCAGCCGGGCAGGGCGTCCCGCGGACCCGGCCCGGCTCGGCGCTCCCACCCCCCGAGCGCCCGCCTCCCCCGCCCCCGCCCGGGGCGGTCTTCCAGGTCCGGCCGCCCCAGCCCGGCCCGTCTGGGCGGCGGCGAGCGGGGAGGGAGCGCGCGCAGCCGCAGCCCCGAGGCCGGCCGCCGCGGAGCGAACATTTCCTTATGTGGTGGCTCCGAGGGCCGGCCTGCGCCCGGGGGGCCGCCGGGGCCGGGCGGGCACGCCCTGGGCGATCGCAGCGACCCTGGTCCCGGCGGCCGGGCCGCTTCCCAGCGGGATCTCGGCCGCATGGTGTGGACAAAACAAAGAGGGCTTGGAAAGGCCCCCGGCTTGTTCTTTGTCCCCTGGAGCGAGTTCCACAGTCCTCCCAGGAGGAAGTGTCACGGCCCCTGGGCCGGACCCTCTCTCCCGGACTTCCCCTGCGTTTGTGGGGGAGCGTCCCTGGGATCCGGGGCTCAGGCAGAGACCTCGGGACGGGGCCTCTGTTGGAGGGCGGTTTGAGGCGGCGGGCTGCCTGGCCCCCTTGACCCCTAAGCCCTGGCCCCGCCCCGGCCGGCCGCCCCGCGCAGCAAGCTCGCGCCCTTGCCTTGGGAGCTATATTTGGCCATCGAAGGATAACAGCGTGAGTCATGGGAGGGACAGCCCGAGGATGGGAAGAGGACGAGCCGCGTATCTGGAAATGCCTCTCATTTTTGTTCCAGGCCAAGCTCCAGCCCTCCAAGAGCGCTTGACATCAAAACACGGGGCGAAGGAGGCTGCCTTCCCACCGCACTGGGCTGGTCTCCAGAGCCTGATTAGGGCACCTGGGGCTCTGACATTCCCCAGGTTCTGGAATATCTGCCCTGACTCTCTGAACTGTCCTCAATTCTTGAGCCAGTATCTTACTTTTCCAATATATACAGCCTTTGATTAGATTTGGGTAGGATAGGCTCCCTATGGGATATTTTTTTAAGTGGGGCTAAAAGCAGGCTGTTGGCTCACCCCAGTGAATCCCTAATTTAAGGGAGCACAGTTTGAAGTTGCCTCTGAGAGAGAATCCTGGTCCAGGAAGCCTCTGCATGCAGCACCAGCCCCACCAGGCTGAGGGAGAAGAAACATCCAAAGTCTAGCTCCTGTGCCTCCCCACCAGTTTCTCCAGGACTCCCATCCCTCCTCCTGCAGCCCCTTACTCCCTGGCTCCTGGTGCCTGTCCCTGACTCAGACCTAAGCTGCCTTCCCTTACATCTGCCTTTTTACCCAACGCTGGGAAAATCTCCAGCTTCGGAGTTCCCCTCCACCCAGCC